CCCCTTCCCTCTGGGTAATTTTTCGTATATACCCATGGGGCGCTCCAAAAAGGGCCTTGCATTCGAGGACCGAAGAAAGCGTGTCTCCTTTTTCGGCGATGATGGGCGTCATGGGGGGGGGGCCGGGGGAGGTATGACGTAACGTCTCCCCCCGCTGTGTGGCTCTGGCACCACAGCCTCGCCTGCGCGCACGACGACGATGAACGACGAGCGACGAGCGACGAGCAACGACGACGACGACGACGCGAGCAGCATGTAGGTGGCGATCTGCCCCACTGCGCGCGTGTACACTACAGCGCCTGCGTACACCTTAACAGCCGTGTGCAACGCAGCGCGTGTGTACACCACGATGCTTGCGTGCACCACAGCGCTGGTGTACACTACAGCGAATGTGTACACCGCAGCAACCATGTGCAACGACACGCCTGTGTACACAACAATGCTTGTGTGCACCGCAGCGCCTGTGCACACCACAGCGCCTGTCTACACCACAGCATCCGCGTGCAACGCAACGCTGGTGTACAACGCAGCGCCTGCGTGCACAGGACAGGTAAAAGGAGCATGTAGGTGAGGATCTGCTGCGGACAACTTGCTGATAATCGAATGCGACGTTTTTCATTCCTCCCTCCTCCGCAACCTCCACCTCCACCTCCTCCTCCTCCTCCTCCTCCTCCTCCTCCTCATCCCTCATCCTTCCCCCCTGTCGTGCGGGTCGGCGCTACAGCGCACGTGCGCATCTCAACGTGTTCCGCAGGATGGTTGATTGAATCAGTCAACTTGGTTCTCGAACGGCCAGTTTTTCTGGAGCCTCCTGGACGCAGATGAAGGGAGTTTGGATGATGCGGGCGGACTCGGGAGGACTCGTAGATTCCAGCGGCGCTCCTTTTTCCATAAGGAATCCGTTCCAAATCCTATAAAACAATTGTTTTCTGCGGGATCCACAGGCGCTCCATTCTGTCACAAGGATTCCTTCTCACATTCTATATGCAACAGTGGTGCTCTGTTGCACACGGTTGTTGTGGTACACACAGGCGCCGTGGTGTACACAGGCGCTTTAGTGCACGCAAGCATTGTGGTGCACACTGGCGCTGTGTTGCACACGGCTGATGTGGTGTACGCAGGCGCTGTGATGTACACAAGCGCTGTGCCCGTAGGCACTGTGGCACTCACTGGCGCTGTGTTGTACACAGGCGCTGTGGTGCAGATCGCCACCTACATGCTGCTGCTACCCGTCCTCGGTCTTTCCTGAGCATTCCCAAACGCCGGTGGCGCGAAACGTAACATCGCGGATGACTCATCGGCCCCCTCCACTCCCCCCCCCCCAAATGACTGCCGTCATCGGCCCGGAATAAAACATGATCGACCCACGAACCCGGAAAGGAATATAGAAATGTAAGACATGGCAACGTTTCAAAGACACCTGATTGGGCGACGGGCACATGCAATGCTTAGTGTATCGACCTTGATGTACCGTGCCGAGGGCTGTGCTGTGCTGTGCCGTGCTGAATTGCGATGTGCCATGCCACGAGTGTGCTCTATAGCGTTGTGGATCGAGTCCTCCTTTGCATCCGAGTCCTGACCGAACTGATCTGGATCTTAAGCTCGAGCTGCCTAAGCACATAACTAGTAGCTGCCCCAGAGTTGATTGACAAGGGAACATGCCAGGAGGACGCGCCGCAGAACGTCCCAAGGGACGCGCCAGGCGACGTGCCAGGGGACGTGCCATGGGGTCGCACCGCGGGACGTGCCAAGGGGACGCGCTACGGAATGTGCCAATGGACGTGCCACGGGACGTGCCAAGAGACGCACCAAGCGAGGTGTCAGGGGACGTGCCACGGGGACGCACCGCGGGACGTGCCAAGGGGACGCGCTACGGAACGTGCCAATGGACGTGCCACGGGACGTGCCAGGGGACGCGCCGCGCGACGTGCCAGGGGGACTCGCCACAGGACGCGCCACGGAACGTGCCAAAGAACGTGCCAAGTTGCAATGCTGAGTGAGTGTATCGATCTTGATGTACCGTGCCGCGGGCTGTGCTGTGCTGCGCCGTGCTGAACTGCGATGTGCCACGTGACGATTGTGCTCTATAGCGTTGTGGATCGAGTCCTCCTTTGCATCCGAGTCCTAACCGAACTGATCTGGATCTTAAGCTCGAGCTGCCTGAGCACATAGTAGCTGCCCCAGAGCTAATTCACGGGGGGCATGCTAGGAAGACGCGCCGCCGAAAGTTCCAAGGGACGCGCCAGGCGACGTGCCAGGGGACGTGCCATGGGGACGCACCGCGGGACGTGCCAAGGGGACGCGCTACGGAACGTGCCAATGCATTATGGACGTGCCACGGGACGTGCCAGGGGACGCGCCGCGCGACGTGCCAGGGGGACTCGCCACAGGACGCGCCACGGAACGTGCCAAAGAACGTGCCAAGTTGCAATGCTGAGTGAGTGTACCGATCTTGATGTAATGTGCCGAGGGCTGTGCTGTGCTGCGCCGTGCTGAACTGCGATGTGCCATGCCGCGATTGTGCTCTACAGCGTTGTGGATCGAGTCCTCCTTTGCATCCGAGTCCTGACCGAACTGATCTGGATCTTAAGCTCGAGCTGCCTAAGCACATAACTAGTAGCTGCCCCAGAGTTGATTGACAAGGAATTATGCCAGGAGGACGCGCCGCGGAACGTTCCAAGGGACGCGCCAGGCGACGTGCCAGGGGACGTGCCACGGGGACGCACCGCGAGACGTGCCAAGGGGACGCGCTACAGAACGTGCTGGGGACAAGCGTCGTGTTGGTGGCCTGGACACGTAAAAACACGGTGCCAGCTCGGGACAACCATGAGAGATACCCCCTGGGTGGCCTGGACACGTAAAACACGTGGTTCCAGCTCGGGACAATCATGTTAGAGATCTCCCTGGGTGGCCTGAGCATGAAAAAACACGTGGTTCCAGCTCGGGACAGCCATGTTAGATACCCCTCTGCGTGACTTGGATACGCTGAATTCGCGCTCCCGCTCGAGACATCCTCACAACGTCTTCCCTGGAGAGGCCCCCAAAGCGCACCCCCCTGTTCAGAGCAAGAAGCCATCACTTTTCCTCATAATTCGGCGTTGGGCCCGACGCCATGTTAGATACCCCAACTCTGCAAAACCAGCGTTTCGCTCGAGACATCCTCAACAAATTCTGAAAAGGAAGCGTTTCGCTCGAGACATCCCCCAACTCTGCAAAACCAGCGTTTCGCTCGAGACATCCTCAACAAATTATGAAAAACAAGCGTTTCGCTTGAGACATCCTGTCAAAATCCCAAGAAATCTAAATTCCTGCGCGCGGGACGCGGCACGCGCGAGACATCCTCAGAATTCCTGCGCGAGGGGCGCTTTTCCGTGTCGCGGTCGGCTCTGCAAAACCAGCGTTTCGCTCGAGACATCCTCAACAAATTCTGAAACCAAGCGTTTCGCTCGAGAAATCCCCAACTCTGCAAAACCAGAATTTCGCTCGAGACATCCTCAACACATTCTGAAAAACAAGCGTTTCGCTCGAGACATCCTCAAAAATAATTCCGCCTGCCCTACTCCCGCACGTAATTTATCGCAGAATAATTTCGCCGGCCCAAGTCGCAGGGGGGCCGGGGGATTAACCTACTAAAAGAGAACCCTGGGCCCGCGCCCTTTCCGGGAAAAACAGGCTCCAGCCGCGTCCGCGCGCACGACGACGATGAGCGACGAGCGACGAGCGACGAGCGACAAACGACGACGACGACGCCGACGCCGACGCCGACGCCGACGCCGACGCCGACGCCGACGCCGACGCCGACGCCGACGACGACGACGACGACGACGACGACGACTGCTGACCAGACTTCTATGCGGATTCCTATGCGGACACCTAATTATGCGGATCCCGATGCGCACGGCGGCGGTGCCCGGATCGCACTGGGGGGGGGGGGCGGGGGGCGTTACGTCATGGGGAGGGGGAGGCGGGTGCAATGACGCCCGTTATGCCCCAAACAATAAGAAACACTCTCGAAGGAATTGTCATCCCTTCCTCGGCGGAACGCTGCGGAAGGGCGGCGGATGGTCGGCGGAAATAAAACGAAGCCGCCTCCGTCGGCGGAATCTGGCGGAAGGGAGGCGGAAGGTGGCGGAAGCAAAAACGCGTCCCCAAGAGATGAAAGCATTTTTGGGGTTCAGGGTTTCCGAAATCAGCCACATATATGTATGAGGGTCCCGGGGCCCGATTGCGAAGCCAATATCGAAGAACAACTCCTGGACTGAACAAAACAAATACTTCTTTTGCAGCGGACCTGGCGCTCGCTCAGTCGAAGCAGCTGGGTCGGGCTGACAGACGAAAAGCCTCTTGTCACCAAGGCGCGGGCACGGGAGAGGCGGAAGCCGTGGAGAGGGGGGCCTGCGGAGGGCGCACTCAGGGCACGATGAACTCGTCCCAGTGCCGGCGCAGGGGCTCAGGCTCCGAAGGGGGTCGTGCGAAGGGGCAGTCGAGACTGCGCAGTGCGAGCTGCGAACCTGCAAGTGCAAGATGAAGCCAGGGCAAGGATCAAATCGGACAGGGATGAGGCGGGAAAATTTGAGACCCAGCGGTTCTGGAGGATGCATCGGGCACCGTGGCCTTCGCAGAGCTTTCAGGAACGCTCCGAGAGCGTTCCAGATCGCTCCGGAACGAACTTATCCTTGTCCTAGCCCCGTCCGCCAGTGCGCAAGGTTGCGGTTTCCGAGTGGCCCTCCAGGATGCCTAGGCTCCAGGGAAGGGTGCTGGCAGCCGGGGGCAGGCCGCCGTGCCGAGCCGGGCGGCACGCGCAGCGGTCGCCTCGACGAGTCCCGAGGCGGGGGCCGAGCAAAAGCAGATCGTCGGAGGTCTGGCTCCTCCTCCTCCGCTTCTTCGCCGTCGTCGTCGTCGTCGTCGTCGTCGTCGTCGTCGTCGTCGTCGTCGTCGTCGCTCGCCACAGAGAGCTGGGCCAAGGCCGCGCCCGCGCGCCCCCCGCCCCCCTGGGCGTCCACGGGGTCGGCCACGGCCGAGCCGCCCGGGAGCGCCTCCGAAGCGGGTGCCGTCGGGCGCCGAGGGTGACCGACCGAGCGAACTGCTGACCGAACGGCACCCGACGACGACGGCGACGAGGACGAGGACAAGGAGGACGACGACAAGACGACGACGACAAGACGACGACGACAACTACGACGACGACAACGACGACAACGACGGCGACGACGACGACGACGACGACGACACGACGACGACGACGACGAGACGACGACGACGACGACGACGACGACGACGACGACGACGACGACGACGACTCGCCACCACCACGACGACGACCACCACCACCACCACCACCACCACCACGACGGACGACAACGACGACGACGACAACGACGACGACAGCGACAACGACAATGACGATGTCGACGGACGACGACGGACGCCGACGACCGACGACGAGCGACGAGACGACGACGAATGGCGACGGACGCCGACGACGGGCGCCCTTGACGGACGACGACGACGACGAGGGGTGATTGCCAACGACGGCGACAGACGACGCACGACGACGACGACGACGACGACGACGACGACGACGACGGCGACGACGAACGACGAACGACGACGGACGAGGAGGACCGATGATCAACTTGTTTTAGCGATTCTGGCACTTCTGAGGCCACCAGCAATTCGGCGACGAAGATCACGGAGGTTCTTGTCTGTGCTCTCGCGATCTCGTGGCTTGGCGGGCCCAGAAAGGGCCGCCCGAGGACGACCATGGGACGGAGATCGGGCTGGGCGAAAGGGGGGATAGCAAAGGGGGGGGAGGGGGCGAGAATCAGCTCACGTAGCTGATTTTCTCTGCGCCTTTCGGCGCCGGAGGCGGCTCTGCATCGAGGAATGGGCCCCTCGGTGGGGCCGAGACCAGCTGCATGCGGCAGATTTCGTAGCCCCCCCTTTCCCAATCCCCCCCTTCCGTCCGGCCCGAGGAGAGCAGGCCCTGGGGAAGGGGGGGCCGACAGCTGCAGGCGCCCACGGCACAAGCTGGAGCGACCGGCCCTGGATCCCCGACGGCTTGGCCTCGCAGCCCGCCCCGGCACGGCTCCTGGCTCTCGGCCTCCGGGGCCCCTGCAAGACGCAGCCGAAACGAAAGTAGCATCGGGCCCAGACCCCCTCGAGTAATGAAAAAATCACGACGGGAGGTTTTTGCTAATTTTCGGCCTCTGGGGGCCCTCACCGGGCCTCGGGAGCGTCAAAAAGCGACTCAGGATGGAAAGCCGGTCATGGGGAAAGGGTCGGGACCTCTGGAGGGCGACGTAATGAAAAAATCATTACGTCGGGGGTCTGGGGGCGAGGATGCATCGAGAATCTCTGACATCCGGCGGCTCTGGAAAATGTCTCGGGCGCCGTTCTGGGTCGTTCTGGCGCCGTCTCGAAGCCATCTTTCGGGCCTGTTGGGCAAGATTTGGGCCAACCTGACAACGTTTGGGGCGGAATCCGACGGGCAAAAACGCCATAACTACTGATGAACGTTGCTGGGATCAGTGGGCGCCCTGAGGGCGTTCCGGAACGCTCTGGAACGGACTGATCCTCGTCCCTGCCCCCTCCGACCGTTGTCGGGCTCCAGGACCATCGAACATTGACCTCGGACGAAAAACTGCCCCAGACCTCTGGGACCGCGCACTGGACAAATATATCTTCGGATGTCTAATGCGTCCGGCATCGGGGAAGGAGGTGCGTCGTTGTCGTCGTCGTCGTCGTTGTCGTCGTCGAGTGTTGCCGGGCGGGAAGGAGGGAGAGAGGGCAGGACGGTAAACGACGTGGAGGGGCGAGGTAGAGGGAGGGACCGAGGAAGCAGGAGGAAGAGAAGGGATGAGCAGGACGGCGAGGGTTCGCTTGCTGCTGCTGCTGCTGCTCCTCCTCCTCCTACTCCTGCTCCTGTTCCTTCCTCCTCCTGCTCCTCGATCTCCCCTCTACCCTCCCTCTGCTTATGCTTTGAGCGTGGCCCGATGTCCAAGTGTGTTGTCCTGTAGGCCATTCCTCCTCCTCCTCCTCTTCCTCCTCTTCCTCCTCCTCCTCCTCCTCTTCCACCCCCTTTTTCCACCATACCTCGTCCCTTCTTCTCCCTCCCTCGCCTCTTCGTCTTCGTCTTTGTCCTCCTTATCCCGCCACCTCGTTGTCTTCGTCTTCATCTTCCTTCTCTTCCTTCTCCTCCTTATCCTACCCCCTTTTCCCCCCCCATGCATTTCCCCTTCCCTCGTCCCCGTCCGCCGTCAAATATTACGTTTCTGTCCCCCGTGCCCTTCCCGTATCGCCGTATCTCATTTCAAATCCCCGTCCCCATCTTCTCCTCTCCTCTTCCCCCTCATCGTCTTCGTCTCTTCCTTTATGCTACGCAATGGTAGATTGGTCGGGGGCCCTTTGGATTGCCTGCCTGCCTGCCTGATCCTCCCCCTCATCCTTCGCCTCCTCCGCCTCCTCCTCCCTCCCTTCCTTCCTTCCTTCCGCCCTCCCTCCCTCTCTCCGCCGCCGCCGCGCCGTCGCCAGCGTCCTTGGATGCCCAAGACGGGCCGAAGTCACCCCCCACAAAACTCCATCCTCGCGCCTCTTCGCTCCTCCTCCTTCTCCTCGCTCCTCCTCATCCTCCTCCTTCTCCTCCTCATCCTCGCTCATCGCTTCTCCTCCTCCTCCTCCTCGTCCTCCTCCTCCTCCTCCTCCTCTCTCCTCGCTCCTCGCTCCTCCTCCTCCTCCTCCTCCTCCTCCTCCTCATCCTCATCCTCTGTTTCGGTGAGGGGGGCGTCCAAGATAAGTGTGTGTGTGTGTGTGTGTGTGCGCAAATCATGGCCCGGTGCGCGGCCCCAGGGCGGGGGGGGGGCCAGGGACGTATTGAAATAAGAAGAGGTGCCATGAAAAGGTCAGAGATGGTTTTCCTCCTGGGTGCGGCCTTCCACGCTCCCCGGAGCGCGCCAAGAGGGCCCCAACAGGCTTCCAAGACGGTCCAAGAGGGTTCCGAATCACCGAACGATCGGCCCAAGACGCCCAACACGGCCTCAAGACGGCCCAAGAAGCTTCCAAGACGTCCCAAGAGAGCCCCGACCCTTTCCAAGAGAGCCCCAAGAGGCCCAAATCATTGATTTCCATTGGTTTTTCAAGGTTTTTGGCTTCCTCGCCTTTTCGCCTTTCCGACGCTCCAAGACGGCCCAAGAAGCCTCCAAGACCACCCCAAGACGGCCCAAGAGGCCTCCAAGCGAGCCCCAAGACCGCCCAAGAGGGCCCCACGACAGCCCAAGAGGCGCCCAAGACGGTCCAAAAGGACCCCAAGAGGGGCCCAACATGGAGACCACGAACCGAGAATCCGAGCCTTCCGCTCCAAGAGGCCTCCTGGAGGCTCCAAGAGGCCCCAAAAGGCGACAGTGGGCCCGAAAGAGACCCCAAGAGGCTCGACAACGACTCCCGAGAGTCTCCAAGAAGCCCTCGAGAGGCATCCAACGAGATCCCAATGAACGTCCACGAAGCCTCAGAGCGCCAAAACCATTGATTTCCATTGGGTTCTTCACAGTTTTTGGCTTCCTCGCCTTTTCGCCTTTCCGACGCTCCAAGACGGCCCAAGAAGCTTCCAAGACCACCCCAAGACGGCCCAAGAGGCCTCCAAGAGAGGCCCGAGCCCCACGACAGCCCAAGAGGCGCCCAAGACGGTCCGAAAGGACAGGGCCCCAAGAGAGGGCCACGATGGAGACCACGAACCGAAAATCCGAGCCTTCCGCTCCAAGAGGCCTCCTGGATGCCCCAAGAGGCTCCTAAGAGGCCCCAACAAGCGACAAGGGGCCCGAAGAATGCAAAAAGGAAACTGCAGAATGTTGTCTTGTTCCCTGCGATCGTATTCACGAGCCGCCACCTTCCAAAACAGAAGGTTCAAGCGGGCAAAGAATGGTTCCCGCCTGCGAAATCACCCAAAGCCAGCCATCCATGAACAAAAAAGCGACCCAGCAGCACCCCATTGACAACGATCACACGGAAACTCGACAGCCGTGCACCAATACGGGCCGGCGGAATGAGCGAAGGGATTAAATAAGAAGAGGCGCCATGAAATCTGGGGAGATACCGTGGCCTTCGCCATGATATCCACCCCCCTAGTCATCACTCCCCTCTTGGCCGCCCCCGAGTGTTGATCAGGAAGAACGTGTTGGGAGGACGGGGTTGGGAAAAATGAGGATATCATTACCCGTAGGTGGCTGGAGGTATCGTTCCTTACATCCGAGTGCTACTGCTCAGACCCTTCAGCCTCGAAGCACGATGACTGTTTTCCTGAGCCTGGGGCTGCAAATCCCCAACGTCACGATTCTTCCCAACGTCGACCCGCGGCCAGACGTCTCGACCCGTTCCCCGGGACCAGCTCTTTTTGTTCAGCCTTGGCGCAGCTGGGGGCCCCCCGAGGCCGACGATGGCAAAACCGCCCGTCGCGATGCCTTCCGCGGCGCGACAGCGTCTGGGCCTGGAGGGGCCGCCGAGGCCCGTGGGCGGAAGACATGTCCGCCTCCGCGGCCCCCCGGGGCCCGGCACCCTGGGCCGCGACCCCGCGGACACGGGGCGCTCTTGCTCGCGGATCCTCCGCGCAGCTCCGCACCGGTGCGACCGCGTGCCCGGGAGGTCGCCCCCCAGAACCCAGACCGCGGGAGCGCTGAGGGCGCCAAGAACACGGCACTTACCACCACCTCCGCCCCCCCCCCCCCGCCTCCTGCACATTCTGAGGCCTCTCCTCCCTCCTGGGAGAGGCGTGGGAGGCGAGGGAGGCTGGAGGTGGTGCGCGTTCTGAGGCCTCTCCTCCCTCCTGGGAGAGGCGCGGGAGGCGAGGGAGGCTGGAGGTGGTGCGCGTTCTGGGGCCCTGCTGGCGTGGGTGTGGTTCCCCGCTGCGTGGCAGGCCGCCGAGGGCCGAGGGCCCCGCCGCGCACCGAGCGCCGAGGCGCGCGGCGAGGGCCTGGGGCGGGTCGTCGTCGGCCAAGGGCTGCGGCGCCTTCTCCATGAGCCCGAGCGCCGCCTCCCGGGGAGGGGGAGGGGCACCGCGTCGTCGACCTCGTCGTCCTCGTCGTCGCCCTCCTCCTCCTCCTCCTCCTCCTCCTCCTCCTCGTCGTCGTCGTCGTCGTCGTCGTCGCTGCGGGGCGTGGGGGGGGGAGGAGAGGGAGGGCACCCAAGCGGCCGACGATCACACCGTCGGATTTTTTTTTGCAGAAAGAATGGAGCGGGGGAGGCAGGGATGCCGGGAGGAGGGGAAGGGGACTGATGAGTGTGTGCGTGTGTTGTTGTCCATTCTATAAATGTATATGTATGTGTATTTATATATGTTTACATACGTGCACATAAACATACGAACATACATACAAACAAATAGATTATCCCAGTGCGACCCTACCTAGGAGTTGGAGCCCCTAGGAAAACAGCATTAGTAGTAACAGTGAAGCTAAGCTAAAGCTAAGCTAAAGCTAAACTAAAGCTAAGCTAAAGCTACGCTAAAGCTAAGCTCAAGCTAAGCTACATATAAGCTCAAGCTAAGCTAAAGCTAAGCTAACTCTAAGCTAAAGCTAAGCTGAATCTAAGCTAAAGCTAAGCTAAAGCTAAGCTAAAGCTAAGCTACATCTAAGCTAAATACTATGCTAAGCTATGATATGCAACACTGTGCTATGGTATGCTATGCTGTGCTATGCTATGCCATGCTATGCTATGCTACGCTAAGCTAAGCTACATTAGGCTAAGCTAAGCTCAGCTAAGCTAAGCTAAGGTAAGCCAAGCTAAGCTAAGCTAAGCCGAGCTAAGCTAAGCTAAGCTAAGCTAAGCCGAGCTAAGCTAAGACAAGCTAAGCTAAGACGAGATAAGCTAAGCCAAGCTAAGGGGGCGCTATGCTAAGCTATGCTAAGCTATGCTATGCAATACTGTGCTATGTTATGCTATGCTGTGCTATGCTAAGCCATGCTATGCTACGCTAAGCTAAGCTACATTAGGCTAAGCTGAGCTGGGCTAAGCTAAGCTAAGCTAAGCTAAGCTAAGCCAAGCTAAGCTAAGCTAAGCTAAGCCAAGCTAAGCTAAGCCAAGCTAAGCTAAGACGAGATAAGCTAAGCCAAGCTAAGGGGGCGCGACTGGGGGAACCGCGGGGCGGGGACTGGGGGAACCGCCCGGGGCGTTTTCCACTGCCCGGCCCCTTTAAGCTAGAGAGTAAGAACCCTTCTACACAGAGCCCAGGTAGGGAACTAACAAATTATCCCAGAGCGACCCTACCTAGGAGTTGGAGCCCCTAGGAGAGCAATATTAGTAGTAACTGTAAACGCCGTCCTCCTCCTTCTCCTCATCGTCGCAGTTGTAGCAGTAGCGGTAGTAGTAGTGTTATGCTATGCTATGCTATCCTGCGCTATGCTATGCTATGCTATGCTATGCTGGGCTATGCTATGATATGCTAGGCTATGATATGACATTATATGCTGCGCTATGCTATGCTATGCTATGCTATGTTGCGCTATGATATGATATGCTATGATATGTTATGTTATGCTGTGATGTGCTGTGCTATGCAATGCTATGCTGCGCTGTGCTATGCAAATCAATGCTATGTTATGCTATGCGATGCAATGCTATGATATGCAATGCAATGCAGAACTCTGATATGCTGTGTTATGCTATGCTATGCTACGCTTGGCGATGTTATGCTATGCTATGCTGTGCTCATGCTGCGCTGCGCTATGCTGCGCTGCGCTAAGCTAAGCTAAACTAAGCTAAGGTATGTTAAGCTAAGCTAAGCTAGGCTAGGCGAAGCTAAGCTAAGCTAAGCTAAACGAAGCTAAGCTAAGCTAAACCATGCTAAACTAAGCTAAGCCAAGCTAAGCTCAGCTAAGCCGAGCTAAGATGAGCTAGGCTACGCTTAGCTAAGCTAGGCTAGGCTAGGCAGAGCTAAGCTAAGCTAAGATGAGATAAGCTAAGCTAAGCTAAGCCAAGCTAAGCTTAGCTAAGCTAAGCTAAGCTGGGTGAACCCAGGGGGCGGGGACTGGGGGAACCGCGGGGCGGGGACTGGGGGAACCGCCCGGGGCGCTTTCCACTGCCCGGCCCCTTAAAGCTAGAGAGTAAGAACCCTTCTAGGCAGAGCCTAGGTAGGGAATAAACATGCATACGTGCATACTAGAACCATCGCGCGCTTCGCGCGCACTCAAGTTCTAGCTAGGCTTGATCGGCTAACTCATGTCATCTCATGTTGGTCGCTTCTTGCGTCCAGGGACTCCTTTGGAGGCCCTGCGAAAGCCTCGGAATCGTATAGAGGGGGAAAGGCGGAAACGCAGAAATCATTAATTTCCTTTAGGTATTCAATGAATTGGGGCCCTCAAAGGCTTCCTGGGTTCTTTTTTGGGAGGTGAGGGGGGTCTGAATTGTGGTCTGTTGTGCAAGAGTAGACCGGGGGCCAAACTTGAAAAAAACATGAATTATGGGATTTCCATGTTTTTCCAGTTCATCGGCGCTGTTCGGCGCTTTTTGTTTGTTTGTGCCTCGCGAGTTTTGTTAGCCAGGCCCCTCAGGGGTGTGGGATCTTCTGGACCCCCTGGGGGCTCTGGAGGCCTCCTGGAGGCCTGGCGAGACGTCGGAAGGGTGTCGCGGGCTGCGCGGGAGCGCGTTGGGCCGTTCTTTACGTTCTTGGGGTTCCTTGGGGTCGTCATGGGCTGTCCTTCGGCGACTTGGGGTCTCCCCCCGGGAAGCCGGGAGGCGCAGTACAGGCCAGATGTCGGGGGATGTGTAGGACCCCCGAGTAGGAGTCCCACTTTGAAAAAAAGGAGGGATTCTGGGAATTCCCTTTTTTTTTCAAATCCTCGATCTTCGAGGGTTGGAAGCGGGAAAACGTGAGAAGGCGAAACACATTCGAAAAACCATGGGGAATCAACGATTTTACCCTCTTCGGGCTCTCTCGGGACGGCTCTCGCAGCTCTCTTTGGCTGTTCTTGGAGCCTCGTCGGGGTCTTTCTCTGGGGCCTCCCAGGGATCGGGGGTGTGTTGGGGGCCTTTGGGTGGTCTCGGAAGCCTTTCGGCGGTCTGGGGCTATCCTGGGCGCCTCTTCGGCAGTCTTGGGGAGTCTTCTTGGCCCGTCTTGGGGCCGTCCTGATGGTCTCTTGGGTGGTCTTGGGGCGGTCTTGGGAGCCTCTTCGGCGCTCTTGGACCGTTGGAAGCTCGAAAACGCGAGAAACCAAAAACATGTTATACATACATATATATATATATATATATATATATATATATGTATACGTATACATATAATGAAATATACGATTGGGCCTCTTCGGGCCGTCCCAGGACGCCTCTCCGACCTTTCTTGGGATCACCCCCGGCGATGCATCAGAGGACCCCAGTTTCGGGAGGCACGAATAAGAGAAGTAACTCGCGAAACACTCGACCCTCCCCCAGCCGTGACGAATGAAAAGTCTGGCCGAAATTAACTCACCCCCCAGAGCGATAGATAACGACTTCGACGGCGCCGCGCGAGGGAGGTCTCACGAGCAATAACAACGAACCATCAAACATTACACTCCACTTCACCGACAACTTGAAACTTTGAATGCTAGTGCAATAATAGTGTATACTGAGCACTACTACAATACTATATTTATAACAGAAATTGAACAAAAACAGCAGCAACAAAAACAAAGCAAAACGCTGACATGTATATAATGGTAATACTTGAGTTCTGACGATTCGTTTTGAAAGGCTTTAGTATTGTAGGTACTCCAGTACCGTAGTGATGATAGTACTTGAATGCTGGCTGGGGTAGTGGTACTCTAAATGTGTAATACTCAAGTACGGCAATTGTAGCCTGATGCTGTAGCGCTGTAGTAGTGATGCGGCAGTAGTAGTAGTAGTAGTAGTAGTAGTAGTAGTAGTAGTAGTAGTAGTAGTAGTAGTAGTAGTAGTAGTAGTAGTAGTAGTAGTAGTAGTAGTAGTAGTAGTAGTAGTAGTAGTAGTAGTAGTAGTAGTAGTAGTAGTAGTAGTAGTAGTAGTAGTAGTAGTAGTAGTAGTAGTAGTAGTAGTAGTAGTAGTAGTAGTAGTAGTAGTAGTAGTAGTAGTAGTAGTAGTAGTAGTAGTCGTACTCTAGCACTGAAATAATAGTACGGTAAGTATTGTGGTAGTAATGGTACTCTCGCTGGACAGGCGACAACTGACAAATCGCGCGCAGGCAGACCCCCCACTTGGGAGAAATGACGGGGGGTCCGATCGAAATTGACCCCCATGGAAGCAAGAATAACGGCGGGAACGTGCCATCCCACTTACCCCCCCCCTCGTAGACGACTGAACCGGCCTAAAAACACCCACCGGGTCAACCTCTCATAACCCAGGGTGATCTCTTGGGGTCTCTTGGAAGTTACCTTAGAGCCTCGAGAGCCGTCGGAAGGCTGACTTGGGCTGCTTGGGAGCGTTTTGGACCATCCTTTCGCATTCTGGGGGCTCCTGGGAGGCGTCTTGGGCCCTCTTGGAGCGCTGTGGAGGCCCCCTGGAACGCCCGGTGGAGCTGTGCCGGGAGCGTTCCCGAGATGTCACGGGGAGGTGTGGCACACGGGGCCGGGGGGGGCTCTATTGGGGTGCCTCTTGGTGCGTCTTCGGGGCCTCTTTTGGTGTTTTTTCGGGTCTCATGGGGGCCTCTTGGGGCTTTTGGGTCTCTCGGGCCAAAAGGCGCGAATTTTTTGGTTCCTCGTCCCCGTCTTGGGCGCCGCCTTGGGGCGTTCTTGGGCAGTTTGGGCGCCTCGTGGTCCGTCTTGGCCCCCTCGTGGGCCGTCTTAGGGCCCTCTTGGGGGGGGGCATCCTCGGCCGGCTTGGGTGCCTCTTGGGCCGTCTTGGACGCAGTGGAGGCCCAACAGGCGAACGCGCCAAAAACATCAGTTTTCCTATACGAAATCTACGATTTTTGCTTGTTGGGGCTCTCTCGGTGTGCTTCTTTTTGATTATGAAGATGTTCATGTGGGGGGTCTGCTCGAGACTCCCTCCGCTGCAGCCTTTTGGGCCCAGCAGTGGGCGGGCGGG